CTTCCTTCCTTCCTTCCTTCCTTCCTTCCTTCCTTCCTTCCTTCCTTCCTTCCTTCCTTTCTGTTTTTGCTTTCTGCTTTGTTATGCTTTTTGACAGGTTCTTGTGTAGCCCAGGTTGATCTTGAACTGATTATCCTGCCTCAGCCTCCCAGTGACTGGGATAGCAGGCCTGCAGCACCCCACCTCACTTGGTCATGTGTTTCTTCACAATGGCCATCTTATGTGCATGCTGTCAGTGTAAAACATTGACACTGGCAAGCCAGGGATCTGCATTCAGTCTGTGAATACAGATTGCCTCCCAGTTATAGTGTATACCCTGAATGTGTGTCTGCCCGTGAGGACTTAAGTCTGAGGGGTCAGTTAAAAAGCCCCAGTAAGCTTAAAGCTGAAACCTTTGTTACTTTTACAGAATGAAACTCTTACTACTTAAAATAAGGTTAAAAACTGCCTTACTTTTTGTGTCTTGCAGTGTTTTGGCATGTATCAGCCCAGAAGCAGTGGTCTCTGGATTAAACTACATGTCATTTACTAATGTTGGCATGAGCGGCTTAAGTCCCACTGGTGTGGATTTGAGCATGGAGGCAAATGCTATAGCTCTGAAATACTTGAATGAAAATCAGCTGTCACAACTGTCTCTTGCTCGATCAAACCAAAATAACTGTGACTCATCTTTTGGCCTCCTACATATTAATTCAGACAGAAGCACAGTGGGGCTTAGCTTAGTTTCACCAAGCAACATGTCATTTGCAACCAAAAAATACATGAAGAGATATGGTCTCTTAGAAAGCAATGACAACAGTGAGGATGAAGAGTCCTCCAGCCATGCAGACAGTGAGATGGACCATATGTTGAACAGAAACCCTGCATGCAGACCTGTGCAACTCAGTCATCAAAAAGCACCTTCTCAGAATGCCTGTGAAAAAGCTCTAACTAACTGTGACTCGGAGGACATGCATACAGATGTGCCAGTATTGAGAAATATCACAAATGAGGCTGTGCAGCCTAGAGCAACAGAGCAGGTGAATGAAGACCCTGTTTTCTCCTTAAGGAATCTTAAACCAGACCCTGCAGTGAACCTCCGAACTGGAAAAGCAGAGTTTACTCGACATCCTGAGAAGGAAAATGAAAGTGAAATTTTTCCTGGAACCTTGCAACCTCCTGAGTCTTTAAAGCAAATGAATAGCATGAATTCAGTGGGCACCTTCTTAGATGTGAAGCGTCTCAGACAGTTACCGAAGCTGTTTTAACTCTTTACTCCTCCTTTGTGATGTGAGGACTAGGTGTGTACTGACGGCACTTAAGGAGACCAGACCTTTGGGATCTCTTTTTGGTTTGTTTTTGAGACAGGGTTTCTCTCTGTAGTCCTGGCTGTCCTGGAACTCGCTCTGTAGACCAAGCTGGCCTCGAACTCAGAGATCTGCCTGTCTCTACCCCTCAAATGCTAGATAAGATTAAAGGTTTGCACCACCATTGCCTGGCCATGACCTTTGGGATTTCTAATAACTGTAAGCGTCCGTTTCCTGTTTGTAGCTAATTATAGTAACATTGGTCAGCAGGTGACCCACTTGTGAAATGCCTGGTTAGTGGGAAGGCTGGGTTTGTTCTGCATCACTGAGCCTAAAGCAAAAGTAAAACAACAACCCTAAGATCAGGTATTACATCAAATCAAGTTCAAATGTACTCCCTAATCCCCAGGACCTCGCATGTACTAATGGGCTCTGTTACTGAGCCCCACCTCAGAGCTTCATCCTCAGCTCGGTAGGTTTTAGTGAGACAGGGTCTCAGTATGTAGCCTCGGCTGGCTTCAGACTTAGAATCCTTCCACCTTCCGCGTCTGGCTCAGGTATGCACTTTACCTAGTATCTCCCAAAGACAATTTCTTACAAGATCATAGTAAGTTTCAAAACCAAGATACTACATTAGGCACAATACTGAGTAAGCCACAGAACTCTCCATTGTCTTTGGTTATTTGGTGGGAAGAGGCAGTGCTGGTGCTTGAACCCAGGACCTCATATCAAGTGTTCTAGCACTGAACTTCATACTTCATTTCATGAGGTGTACCGCTAATTTGCATTGTTTGTGTATAGAGACATGAAATTATATCACATAGCTTCCATTAGCCTAAAACACATCCTCCCTCCAATCCCTACCCTTGATAGTCCATGATCTTTTTACCATCAGCAGAATGTTTTTTGTCATTAAAAAAAATGTTTCTTAAACAGAACTGTACTTTTAAAATGTGTTTTTTTTATTAAGCATTATACCTTTTGAAATTTACTGCCTTTCTCCCAATAATGTCCTGAGATCTGTCCAAGTGTTGAGTGTGTCAATAATTCTTTACTTCCGCTCCCCTCAGGTTGTTTTAAATTGTTATTTCTAAATATAAAATAAAACTATCCACATTCACTTGAAAGATGCAGGTCTCTGCTAAGGTTATAATGTGGTGTCTTGTGTTCAAGTTTGGCTCGTAAACTCAAAGCAGCAGACTTGTTTTCTGAATGCCTTTCTAACCCAGCTCCGGCTTCCTGAGAAGGTACTAGTAGAGAACTATTGCGGTTAGCAGGGCCAGGGAGCCGGGGACCAGTTGGCATCCCTTTTCCTCCTTCATCGCCGCAGTTTGAAGTCACAGTTAGACACAAGTGACAGTGCCATTTCCCTCCATGTTCCTTACATCCCCGATGAGTGGTAGAATTATGGCTGCTCTCTTTAAATTGAGCCCTCCAAGGTTCACCCAAAAAGTGAATGTGGGTGCCATTTGTATTACACTTTGAAAACAGAATACTAAGCCAGGTATGGTGGCCCATGCCTTTAATCCCAGCACTGGGGGGCAAAGGCAGGTTCTCTATAGGTTCTAAGCCAGCCTGGTCTACAGAGAAAATCTTAGGACAGTCAGCTACAAAGAGAGACCTTGTCTCAAGGGGGAAAAAAGAACAAAGAAAAAGAAAAGACAGAGGTTGGGGATTTAGCTCAGTGGTAAGAGGGCTTGCCTAGCAAGCACAAGGCCCTGGGTTTGATCCTCAGCTGGGGGAGGGGGAAGAAAAGATAATGTCAATGCACTAAGCAACAGCCTCAACAACTCTTCCTGTGAATCTCTTTTTTTTTTAATGCCAAACAAGAAGCTGTTTGTTAGGACTGTACAAACAGCCTGAGTTAGGAAGAATTTAATCTCACCACCTGATTGAATGCTTCTGGTAAGATGTTTAAGCGTTTTCAAACTGAGTTTAGACCACAGATTAATTCAACAAAACATCTTTCTACTTAGTGCTTGCTAAGAAGGACCATCAATAAAGCCTACGCTAGAAAGTTCTATAAGAAGCTTGCTTCTGTGAGCAAGGAAGAGAAATTAGTTGCCCTTGGGTGTATTTGGCAGGAGCATTAGTACAGGGGAAACTGGATTAAAAGACTGGAGATGTTTGCCCATTGAGTGGCATTTCTCAGAATTTCTATCTCCTAGCCACATGGCATACTATCTATAAGATCGTGGGTGCTATTTCAATTGGAATAAGAAAATGGTGGAATTTAGATTATCCGGCTTCTGGGAAATAAACCCATTAGTCTGAGTCCCTCTTCAAATGTCCCTCCTTCAATCTCTCAAGAGCCCTGCTTGTTGATTGTAAACTGTTCTTTTAGCTTGTCTTTATCACCCTATCCAGTGCTCAGTCCCATGGAAGTAGGTGTAGACATGTTAAATACGTCTTGTAAAAGCTGCAAAGATTCTTTTTGTTTTCTCAAGACAGGGTTTCTCTGTAGGCCTGGCTGTCCTAGAACTCACTCTGTAGACCAGGCTGGCCTTGAACTCACAGAGCTCTGCCTGCCTCTGCTTCCCAAGGACTAGGGTTAAAGGAGTGCACCACTACCTCCTGGCAAAGCTGCCAAGATTCTAAAGAAAAAGAGTATATGATGAAAAGCCACTGTGACTGCTCTTTTCTTGTTGTTTTTCAAGAGCTTTCTCTGTGTAACAGCCCTAGCTGTCCTGGAACTTGCTTTGTAGACCAGCTAGCCTTGAAGTCACAGAGATCCACTTGCTGAGAGCTGGGGTTAAAGGCATGTCCACCATGGCATGCTGATAGCTTCTGTCTTTTTAGGACTTGCTGTATGCTCATGGCACTGCACAGAACGCTTAGCACAGAGCTCTTAGCACGGAATAGTTCTTTGATGCTTCCTGGCAGTCCGTATTGTTACCTTCAAGAATGAGATCATCTTACTTACCCATGTAAATTACTGTCAGAGATCTAGGTGTTCTGAAGCCATGGAGAAAAAAAAGTGTCCCTGAGGCCGGAGAAATCCAGGAGGAGCTAGCTTCCTACTGGACATGGATCTGGAGCTGGATTCAAATACTACTGTCTAATACTGCACTGTCCAAGCTGCCCCACTCCACTTTCCTTCTGAGAGGATTTCTTACCCTTTTGCCAAGAGCAGTAACCACCCTTTACTGAGCGTCCTGAAGGAGGCACCTCCAGCTTTGGTCAAGGGTTCCACTAATGACCACACAGTGTTGAGCTAGCACCGAGCCTGTTGCAGGAGCCCCAGATTAGCAATGTCTGTGCACTGTCCCTGCTCTCCTGGTGTTGCTCACAAGGGCAGGACCTTTACCAGTCTCCCAGGTAGAGGGGCCTTTATGTCTGCACAGTCTCAGGATACTGCCTGGAACTTGCAGACTTGCTACTTTCAAAGTGTTTTCCCAGGTATTTCCCCCATATTAAAAGCCTTACAGCAGGCATATTTAACACTTCTTTACAAAAGATAAAACGTACCAGCTACAACTGAGCCAAAGTTAACAGCCTCTACCCTGTGGCAACTACCCCCTCTACCGTTCCTCTACACCAGCACGTTTCCCCTCAGTACTCAACAGGTAGGTGGAGCCTGCTAGGTACTGATCAAGACGTTGAACTTAATGAACAAAGCAACCATGCCTTGTCAGAGCTCAGTCTGATGAGGGACTGATGCAGGAAACTAGGAAGATGTCAGCACAGTAGAGAAACAGAGAGAAGCTTTTTTTCAGAGTATTCTCGAAAAGTGACATTTTTCTGGAATCTTTCTATATCCATAAGAGAAGGGGGAAATAGAATATTTTTTATGTTAATGTGTGGGGAGGTGGGGGCAGTGCTTAGGAGGAAAGGACGGGAAACCAACAGTAGGAAAGGCTACAGCTACTGGATTCTTGTTCCTGTGGCCCAAACTCAACACTAGGTAGGTAACTTAGAGGTTTTAGATCCCTGATTTGGGAGATGACAAGGTAACCCTGTGTGACACACTGCATGAAGTGTTAGTACAATGATAAGACGAGCCAGGCATGGTAGTGCACACCTTGAACCCCAGCACCTGGAAGGCAGAGGCAGGTGGATCTCTACGTCTGAGACCAGCTTGGTCTACATAGGGAATTCCAGGACAGCCAGAACTACTTACTAGACAGACCCTGTCTCAAAAAATAAATAAATAAAACAGAAAGAAAGAAGACATGAGCAGAGCTGTGAAGGTCCTGAGGGAGGGAAGACTTTCTGTATGAGCGAGCAGGTGTCAAGCCTCACCTTGAAAGATCCTGGATGATTTCCCCAGGTGTAGATAAGAAAAGATTTCCCTCTTTTTTTAAAAAATATGTTTAGTATACTTCACAATAAAAAAAAAAAAAAGATGAGTTGTTTCCCTCAACAAAGAAATTGTGGAGGAACGCTGGCTGAAAGAAGGCCATTATGTTGTTTCCACATCTGACTTACACATCCCCTAAAAGGTGCCTGGGAGTGTGGGGGCCTGGGTGATGCCCCCTGCATCCCCCATCTCTCCTAACCGGAGCCGTCTGGGTCAGGGGAGAACATCCTCAGAGGAAATCCTGCTTTCCCATTTCCTGGCCAGAGGCTGAACTCCAGGAAAAGGATGGATTGGAGAGAGCTGTGTCCTGCCTCTTCATGGGAGGTCTGGGGCCAGGACAAGGTGCTTATCACAAACAACGGGAAGGATGACATCAGGCATTCATGGGAGTTAACGGTTGTGGGGTCCTAAAAAGTACCCCTGAGGATACAGCCAGAGGAGAGCAGGGACTGGGTCTGGATCACAGTGCAGGGTGCATGCCGTCATCTGTCTCAGCGTGTGAACAAGTTAGCAATCAAGCAGTCAAACCCAGGCTCTCAAGTGAAGCCTGACTTTCCAGAAAGGGAATAAAGGCAGTACCCACACACGGTTCCAGGCTTGTATCACTACCATTTCTTCCAAGCCACATTTTAGAGAACGCTTCAAAGTGCAGCTTATCTGCTCCCCTCGCATCCTCCTCTCCATCCTACAGGAGACCTGGAGACCTCGCATGGGAGGCCTGCTTTCCCCTTTGTTGAAACTCCATAGCTGTTTCGCTGATTCTTTTGTCCTCTTAAACCATCTTGCATGTGTACCCATGGCTATAAGCACTCTGGTGTATGACCCCTTGTCCAGTGAAGAGCCACAAGTAAAAACATCTTCCTCCCTCAGGGTAGAGGGCTGAGGTAGGCACCAGTTCCCTAAAGCTCATGCCCTACCTTGATAAAGTGGCATCAGGCCTTAGCTGAGGTTGGGAGTGGGCCACAGTTGAGTCACTCCTGATAAGTGACTTCAGATTTCAGACCCGCACAAGACTGTGGAGTAGCTATGGAAACCTGCATTTCTCCACTGCACCAGGTGGGGGCACCACTCAGGGTTAGTGTGACCACAATCCGAGATCGTTTCTCTGTGTTTCCAGGCCAGACAGCGTGCCCTTTCAGACAGCCCCGTGGCTGGTTTTAGAGCCAAGACAACTAGACAGTTCCACTTCCTCCAAGTGAAGCCCAGGTTCCTGCTGGGTGTTTACCCTCTCCATTTCTCTCTGCGGCTCCATCCTCCATTGATTTCTTCAATACATAGTTTGTCCCTATTACAGTCCAAAGCAAAGGGCCCCAGTGTGAAGCCCTGCCTGATACACAGCCTCTCCTGCGTTCTCAGCGCTTCTTAATGCCCCTCTCTAGCAGAACACACATTAGGCTGCAGGGTTACTCTTTGCCTTTGTTTCTGTTTCCTCCACGAAAGTATCTCTACACCTAAATACAGGTAAGCCTCATTTTAAAAACAAAACAAAAAACAAACAAACAAACAAACAAAAAAACCACTGATCTCTTCCTTAAATGGCCTAGACACGGTGCTTTTTACACAACTATCAATCAGTCTTCTCAGCAGCCCTGTAAATAGTGTTTTTAGAGATGAAGAAACTGAGGCACAGAGTAGTTGAGGAGAATCTCTAGCTCAGGGTGGCCTGGTGATCACTTATTCACCCTTAACTATGCTAGGTCATGTCCTGGGGTTATGGGTTCAGGGCCAGGTACCCGGGGCTATGTAGAGGAGAGAGATGTCTTCTGCCACAGCTTCTGGTGATCCAAAGCTGTCTGGCAGAGTCCAGCCTGCCGGGCACCTATGAGT